CTCCAGCTCGTCTTGCTTATTCCCCATGCTTCGTGCATTGGTGTATACGCACTTCAGGGAGGTAATCGAGCCTGAATCCTACAAGCTAGGCCTTATGCTTCATGATCTTACTTGTAGACCACTGCACCCAAACCAACCTTCTGTCTAAGCGTAGGTGGCTGCCGTAGGCTCTGTTTCTAGGGTCACTTGTCTCCTCGGCTCCAGAGAGCCACCTCGCTCACCGTGATAAATGCTATTTCTGAGATGAGGTTGGTGACTTTATACAGCCCTCCTTTCGGCATATGTAATTCCTTGTGCTTAGATGTATGGCCTTCCCCTAGGCCATATCAAATGTCTTTTGTTTAATGCAGCCAGCTGCTACATGTGTGGTCAGGCTTGCAGTTAGAGTAGGGTGAGACCAGCATTTTGTCAGACCTAGAACTTCCTTGCCTGCCTTTTAAARTCTCCTTCCACAGTTCTTCAGAAGTTACATGGTGTCCTGTAGGCTGAATTATTGATTTGATTACTCCTTAGGCTGGATATCCAAATTACCTGATTTAAAAAGGGATTTATCTCCTCTCTTTGTCATAGCAAGGATTTTATTTACTTGGAATCTTTCCCAGCTTTTCTTTTGGTSGAAAGAACAGTTAAACAATTCAAAGAGCACTAATTTGGAGCATGGAGCAATGACAAGCAATGCTGAAAGAGCTGGAACTGTAACCTTTTACTGTGACGTGGTAGCAGCTGGAACAATTCGCCTGACTGCAGCCGAAGCAATAAATAATGCAGTATTTGCTTATTTACAGTATTTGACTTCTGGTTTTGGCTTTGAGCTCAAACACTTTGCCTTTTGTCTCGCAACGTCCTTTTGCTGCTCTCCCCTATGTACTGTGGATTATCTGGGACAGAATGATCGCTAGAGGCCCCTTCCAGCCTCAACCCTTCTGTGGCTCTGTGAATTCAACACTGAATTATGAACATACACATGTCAGAAACGGCCACCTGTGAGGTCCTCCAAAAGCAGGTGTGTGCGTTTGGCTGCTCGAGGAGCTCTGCAGCTCCGCTGAATGCGTTGACTACGTCTCCTGTGCCCAGCACAGCTGCCTTCTGAAGATCTGGTGCAGAGCAATGTGCTGTGATACTGTCTGTGTAGAACAGCCTGTAGACCACAGTACTACAGTGAAGTACAGTAAATGTAACTGTATTGCAGTGAGCTGCRTGAAACGTAGCTGTACTCGTGCATTTTGTACAAGACTCCCATTCTGAGTCCACTCGAGTTAAGGAGGGGCTTCCATTGTAAGTGACTGGGCTGTGCTTCAGGCCTCGAATGCTTTTGTTTTCCTTCCTATTTCTGTCTGTTATACCAGCCTTGGCTGTGTTACTGGGAAACTAGGTCAGACTCTCCCAGGAAAACAGGACAAAATTCCAATTATCATCAATCCATACAGACAGACACGTCAAGATGGCAGTACATTCTTTTCTTCCTTTTATTTTTATAACAACTTGTAATATCAACAGGAGTTAATTTAATAATAATTATACCACTCATTTTTCTAATAATCCACTGTTCTTATGTCTTTGTAAAACACACTTTAGAGGCCTGGTTTCTATTTCTGACAACCTCGAGGTGGTTTGCTGTGCGTCTGGATGCCATCTGTGCCATTTTTGTTATAGTGGTTGCCTTCGGTTCCCTGCTTCTCGCCAAGAGTAAGTACAGATGTTAGCAAAAGTTCACCCAGTAATTACCATGTATAGTAATGTCTCCTTCTTCGTAGTTTACTCTTTCTAATTGGCTGTAATTAAGTTAAACGCTCCTTTCTAGATCATGATCTCTTCCCCTGTCTGGGACGCTGGAGCTGTGTGTCCTTTCCTGCAGACACTGGGGGCAGTTCAGGCCTCTCCAGGGTTCAGGCTTGCCTCTCYCTTCTTCCCCAAATGTGCACACAGGCTTGCCCATCTGTAGTCTTTACTCTGGAGATTCTGGCTTTCAGAGCAGTAAAAGCAAACAACCCTTTTGCTTTTTCCTCACCTTTACCTTTCCTTTGCAAGCCTACAGGGCTTTGCTTTCTGTACTGAAACACCCACAGAGCTGCTTGTTAGCACTTCGTCCCTTTCTACACATGGCACAGGAGGCCAAAAGGCAAACTGGGGTTCTGAGGGATGTTCCTCCCGTGCCTTGGATCGGCAGGATAGGCCAGTTCCAGAAGGAAAATCACCTTGTTGTAGTGCAGTTTGTATTCACTGAGTGACAACTCATGAACTGTCATTAGTGTATGTATCATCCAGGATGTAATTGGCTTAAATGTACTAAAATGAGATAATCATCTAAAATATGAAGGAAGAAGTAATTATCTTGGACATGAAAATTAGTGCTAATTTGCTGGTTTTGTTCCTTTTCTTTTTTCTTTGGATAACTTTGGTGTGTGCGCGCGTGTGTGTGTTTTAAAATACTGCCTGCTGCTTCACGCTGGAAGTTTTGAGCTGGGTTTGAAGTTACTAGAATGCAAAAAGACAAGTCAAAACAATGGGCCTGAATCTTTCCTTGCCTCTGGATAAGGAGCAGCTCTCTTGAAGTCGATGGAGCTGTGCTAGGATAAAGTTCAAGTAAGTCAGAGGACAATCAGGCTTAATGCTAGGGCAGGCAGGATTCATTTATGTTTTTACGAGCGGGGATCCAGTGAATGTAGTGAGCGTTTAGGTGAATAGAGGAGGAAATATTTTGTCCTGTTATTTTATGTGGCCATTTGCAATTGTGCAGCTTCAGTACGAATGTTTGTGACTTACTTTGAAATCACTTTGTGCTCATTTCTGCCTGGATCTGGGGGCTCTTCTGTATCCCTCAGAAAAGAACTGAGAAGTTATTAAGGCTTAGTCCAACAGGAATGACTCTACCAAGCTGTGTATGCATGGTCTTAGTTTTGAACCTGAGGATTAAGAGGAGAAATCCTCAAGGAGAGGATTATCTTTTCCAAAACCTACATCATTTCCAAAACATTCCAAAAAAAAAATGGGCAAGAGGGCAACAAGGAATTATTCTGCCTGGAGCTACTGGTTGAACTCATGGTAAGTAGCATGTAGCCAATAAAAAGTTCGGCTTTGATGTTTCCATTATGTGCTTGGGTGAAAGGGAGGCTTCCTGAAACTTTGTGTACTTACCAGTGCAATCTGTTTGATTTTTTTTTTCCTTCTTTCTGCAGCTCTGAATGCAGGGCAGGTTGGTTTGACACTCTCCTATGCCATCACTATCATGGGAACGTTCCAGTGGGGTGTTAGACAAAGTGCTGAAGTTGAAAACCTGGTAACGTTTATTCCTTCCTTTTTGCCCTTCTTCATTCCTTYTTGCTGTTGTGACATGAGGCCTGAAGGATGGGATTGCATTTTACCTGACTTCAGGCATCAGTCCTTTCACAAGCAGTCGAGGCATCATTACAGTCAGTGGAGAAAAGCAGTGTGTTTTTAGCAATCTGTTTAGTGGTTTTTGAATGTCTGTTGRGATGAATTGTTCTCAGAGACTCTCCTTCTCCACTGACAATATGGGAACCTTTGTAATCGCTCTTTGCAGCAGGAAGGAGACTGTCTACTCCAGTGTTAATGTGTACATTGAAAGTTGCTAAAATCACATGAAATGAATCCCTGTCTAGAAGTAGTTTTGTTTTTGTTTTTAACATCTTGTAGCTTTTTATAACCCTTGTGGACTACTGAGGGTCCTGTTAATTCACTTTAAAGGATATATCCTCTTCATTTGTTAGAAATTAGCCAATATTTGAAAGTGTAGCATTTGCATTCAGCTGAGCTAATGACTATTTCCAAAATATAAAAAGTAAAACACCTTCCACCTACCTACTTTTTTATTTACTGTTGTGCTGCAGGTTACCTCTTAACACTTGCAGGCCTAGGTATAAGAAAAAAATACTGCCAAACACTGCAGMATAAAGAAGATAGTGCATCATAAACCTGTTTTTATGTGTATTGTGTTGATGATTCAAGTTTCCTTTTAATTCTGATTTGCTGAGCATAGCCCGTGCAATACATTCAGTACTTTTGGGAAAGTAACAAAACCACGCTGAATAACAGATAAAATCAATAATGTTAGTTTTGTTTTTATACTGTGCAGCAAGTTGCTTCTTCAGGCAGTTTTCCGGACATACGTAAGCTAATGGTGCCAGACACCAGTAAGAAATGGGAAAAAAAAGTTGTTCTTTTTGTGTAAGTTAGGAAGTTTTGTAAATGCAAATATATGGGACTCTACGGTGCTGGAACTACACTGAGAGAGACAGGCATTCAGAAATGCTTTGGAGAAAGACCTGCTGTTCACAAAGCTGTCTGCTGCCTTTCCACTAGATCATTTGGTAGAGCTGTGTTATTAAATCCTAAACTGAGGAAGGCGAGAGTGGTTCCCCTCTCTCCATCTCTGTTACATGTTTTTCCTTGGAGCTTATTTGGCAATGTGACAAGTGCAGGTGCAGCAAGGTCAGAGAACCTGCTGCCTGGCAGCACCCGTGTTGAGGACTGCTGCCGGCAGCATGAGGCTGCCRTGTTCCTGTGGTGGCCTTTTCCGAATCCACCTACGAGTGGTACTGTTCAGGAAAGGGAAATCTAATAGCTGAGCAGTCAACATTTCTATAAAACTGGAATTGTACTGAGGAGATGTATGGGTGAGGATATGTACTGGAGCCTAAACAGAGCTTTTGTTATTTGCCTGAGAGGGGAAGAAAGTCTAACTAGCTGGACTTTTGTTTCTCTTCCCAGTTATGTCCCCCAGACCTGAGTCATCAGTCATCAAATACTTCATTTTCTTTAGTATCTGTCATAGTATACTTTGGAAAACAAATTGTACTGGGTATTAAGGCAGTAACATGGTGATATTTTGAATTTTGGAGTTGCTTGTGACAAACATATTTTAAACATTTGCTGGGGATGACTGCAGTAGTAGTGAGGATGAGAAAAGGAATGAAGGGTTGGTGATTCTGGTACCTCGGTGCTAGTGACTGGCCTGGGTCTGCCTGTAGTTTAGCTGGTAGTTTCGTTTGTAGCTGGTTTCCAAACACATGGCAAAATGTGGGGGTTTGTCGTCTTAGTTAGGATTGTCAGAGGACTGTCATAGCTTGGGTTCCTTCATACCTGGGCATGCACTCCAACTTGTAATTAATTCCACTGATGAAAGATTAATGCTAACATACGGATTTATGTATCATCGTAGCCTGGGATCTGTAGTAGAACATGTAATCAATTCTTTCCACTGTTTTAGTTGGATTAAGTAACTATGAGATAGGATCGAGATTAATATCCGCTTGGAAGAAAAACTGGAGTCATTTGCATTGAATTTTTATAGTTAAAATGCAAGATATATAGTACATAATGCACACATGTGAATTTACGTGTGTGTTTGTATGTGAGTATACAAAATCCACATTTATGCATCAGCTGAAATTCACGGGTACGTGTTGTCTTTCCTCCCCTAGATGATATCGGTCGAAAGAGTAATGCAGTACACGGAGCTGGAGAGGGAGGCGCCCTGGGAGACGGACAAGCACCCGCCGCCGGAGTGGCCCAGCCAGGGGATGATCGCCTTTGAAAACGTCAACTTCACCTACAGCCTCGACGGGCCTCTGGTGCTAAGGCATTTGTCTGTTGTGATTAAACCGAGGGAAAAGGTACGTGTGTGTCTGTGTTTCGTCACTGACAGTAATTAAGCAGGCATGGTAAGTGGAAAAGAAGCTGTGTCAGAGAATTAGAGAGTCCTTAAGGTTGGAAGGGACCCCTAGAGATCATCCAGTCCAACCCCCTGCTCCAGCAGGGACAYCCAGAGCACGGGGCACAGGGCRGCATCCMGGCGGSTTGGGAAGATCTCCAGAGAAGGAGMCTCCACAGCCTCCCTGGGCAGCCTGTGCCAGGGCTCTGGCACCCTCACTGTTAAGATCCTGCGGAAGTGTTGGTGCTTCAGTTTGTGGACGATAACAACACCTTATAAGAGATATGCGTGTCAGGAAACAAGATGAAGTTTATTTTAAAAGTAAGTCTTAATTAAATTTATGAGCAAAGGTTAGAGCCTCTTTATTTCCTATAAATTTAGAAGAAATATGTTTGAGAACATGATGCTTGTAATTAAGACAAATTATGTATCTAGCCCTTCAAACAAAAGGTTAAGGGTATGTGATAGTTTTCTGACAAAACTTGGGTTTCATCAGAAAATGACAGTTATTCAGAATGCCACCCAAGCCCACAATGTTTGTCCAAGTCCAAAGGAAGTGGAGCTGCATTAGGAAACTGGAGATTCAGTAAGTGAAACACAACTGGGATAAAGGGTGTCACCACACAAGGTGCATAGAGACAATTAAAAATAAAGAGTGTGCAGACTCTTGCACTGAGGCCAGAATGGAGAGGGAGAGGAAGAAATACAAATCAGCTGCGCAGCATTAGAATTGGGGATTTTATTTCACTTCCTTTTGGCTACCAATCCAATTAACTGTTGCCATTAATTAGATTGGTAGCCAAAAGAAACACAGAAATAAAATCCTTTCTCCTGCAAATTTGACTCTTTTCCCCCAATTTTGACAGTATMCCAATTGAGACAGTGCTATGGGGAAGGTCTCCCCCACAGACAAAATTAAATTGGAGCCCCGCAGCATTAATTTGTGCTTTGCTGCGTTTCAAATGCACATGTCCTTTTTTCATTAGGATATCTTCCCTAGGAGGCTGGTTCAGCTCTCCACAGTCATTACCCTGGCCTCAGCTGTAACGTGCTTTCCCAYTCCGCCCCAGCGCTGGCTCTTTCCTCAAGTGGACCTTATTAATAGCATGCACGTTAGAGGAAGCCAGCCCGGCTTTGCTGCATGGAGGTGATCTCGTGGAATTAGGTACAGGCGAGCTGAGAACAGGCTGCTTAAGAAGAACAGCAGAAGGGATGTTGGTCTTCACTTTCCTCACCTATAGGATAGCTCTTTAGGTTTCAGCTTTAGTGTAAGTCACTCCCCTGTGCCATCAGAAAGGAAAATTTCCGTGTCTTAGCAAGAGATAGAGATAAAATAATAGTAAACCAAGGAAGAAATGTYAGCATTATATTACTTAATACTTGGTAGGGAGGGATTTATTTTTACTGAGCAGTTGTGCTGGGGCTTTGTCCTCCTGAAGTGAATATACCCAGCTTGAAACTCTTGCCCACAATTTTATGCTTGTTTTCCATCGTGTTTTGCACAACACTGCAGTAGCCTACCACTGTGTCAAGTAAATCTCCCAAGCATCTGTGCCCCTTTATATTGTTTTTAATTAGGGCGAAGCCTCTCTTCAACACCAGCTTTCTGGCTGCGCCAGGGCGTTCTGCTCAGGAGGCGCTCAGTGAGTTTTTGGGTCTGCTCATAGTCTGGTGCAGACTCCTTGTGGCTGCAGTGCCACTCACAGAGCAAATGAAGTTCCATTGCTGCAGTTCCGAGTTGGCTTCTCACCACCCCGCTGCCCAGCTTGGGAGCCTCTGCGGGGTCCGCACAGGGGACACAGGTGGCCGCTCGCTGGCTTCTCACYGCCCTTGCCATGGTGGGCTGCTCTCCTCGGGGCTGCCAGCCAAGCTGCGTGGCGCAGCGTTCCCTGACTCTGCCCGTCAAAATGGGCGAGGAGGGACCCTCTCTTTACAAGATGTTTGCTAGCACAGCACAGAACGGCATGGCATGGCACAGCACGGYGCRGCGCGGCACAGCACAGCCTGCCTGGGGCAGACACGAGACCACGCACCAGGAGCCCTGCGCAGCCGGCGCGCTGCTCTCTGCAGCCAACGTGACCACAGCTCCAGAAACTGCCCTTTTTATGCCACTGTCTTTGTTTTGGCAAGATGCTTAGTTGACTGTAACAACCTCTGGAGGCCTCTTGGCTAATATTTGGAGAAAAGCACCTCGCTTTCCTCATCCGGACATAGCCTAAGTCGAGGATCGGGCTACGTGCTGAGGTTAGGGTGAGGAAGCCAAGTGCAAGTTAACCGTGCGGCGGCTGCTCACGGCAATGCTCGTGCAGCATGGCCCGAAAGGGAGGCTGCCGGGAGGCACCAGAGACATGGGCAGTTCCTGCAGGCTCTGAATCTCATCCTCATTTCTCGTGCAGCTCTACCTGCTAGGTGTGAGTGATGCTGGAATCACAGGGAGGCCAGTGCTGCAGGTGACTCCAGTGGAGACACGGGGCTCACGTGGGGCAACAGGGTCCCGGGCATGTGATTTTGGCAGCTGGGACGCCTGTTTGGGGACCGTCACTGTGTTTGCACTGGCTGTGAAGAAGACAGTGTGAAAAAGAGATGGGTGCACTGAGAACTGCTTTGAATCCGTGTCAGTTTTCAACAGCCTGTAGTCAGTTGGACCAAAGATACAAATAGATTTTTCTAAATGCTGAAGAGCATAGTCCTTTCATTGGATGCCAAACTGAAAGTGGGGTTTTGACAATATGCAGAGCAGCTGCATTTTTATTTTAAGTATCAATGTATTTTTTTTATGTTTTTTCTTTATATTCTTAATACAATACTTTATATCGCTGACATTTACAAAGAAACAATTGAACTTCTGTTTTTACAGCTCTGAGTGTGTTCTCTGTTCAGCCTTTTCCWTCTGAGCTGCAGTGCAACCGATCAGAACCATTTCTCTTTGTTTCACTGATTTCATTTAGCAGACTAGATAATTTATTTTCTCTTATCATTCGTTGTAACAAATTAGCTTCAATTATGCTGTGTCTTTTCTAATAARTACTGTATAAATGTGCGTTTGTCGGCAGTCGTGCAATAATGAATTGTTGGATGACGTTGTTGAAGCAGAAAAGATAGAAGTAGAAAATACCTTTCAGGTTATGCAGGGCAAGTTGGATGCTTGCAGTATACATTTTTGCAGTATGTAGATATATAGATACATATATATGCATATGTATGTTTTTGGGTTTTTTTTTTTTAAGTTTCATGCGTTGATGCTTAAATGTGGACATTGCTGCTGCTTTGTTGGTGAGCTGCCCACCTGACTTTCTGAAGGTTTTTCTTTGCTGCTCCATGTAATGTTTCCTGTCCTTAATTTCATTCCAGCAGTCATTGTGCTTGCATCTGAGTCGCAGGCAGTGGGTATTTGCCCTCTGGTGTCTGTACGTATATTCATGGTGATGTTGGTGTTTCTTCCCCCTTCTGTTCCCAAATCACTTTGTCAAGCCATACAGTACATGTTTAATCCTCGTAAATCCTTCCACATAAAATCAGTATCTCCAACTGATACTAATTTTACATTGCCCTTCTCTCAACTCTTTCCAGGATGGTGATTTCTTTCTGGAAACGCAGTGATTGGAACTGAGTGCAGGAAGCAACAAATGCTGCCAGATCAGATCTGTGTAGGAGTTACGCCGATCACCTGTGATCAATCCCAAAGCACCTACACCTTAGAGAGGATTCCCTAAGAATCCTCTACCTGAAGAGAGCATGCTTGAAAAAGAAAGAAAAAAAAAATTACTATTCAAATAGCCTTTAAACACCACTAATTATGTGTCTCATTTATTAATGGACCTACTTTCTCCTTGATGTTGGTTTCCTATGAAACATTCTATGAAACACTGTTAAGTCTTAATCCCTTGATATTCCAGTTAGCAATCCTCTCAATCCTCTTTTTTTCTTTTTTCTTTTTTTTCTTTTTTCCTGGAAGTTCTTCCTGCTTTTTCACATTTTGAACAATTTATGTTTCTTTTTTTTTTTCCCTGGGTACCTACAGAAATTGTATGAKTCTCTCTGATTTTGTTCACTGTGTCTCCTGCTTGGAGAATTTGTATCCTCTCTGTTGCTGCAGCTCCCTGAAGCCTGAATACTGCTTGCACTGAATACTGCTCATGTTAACTTGATTTTGGCTTTAAAGTCTGACTATTTTGAAGTACTTCCTGACCAAACTAACCAAAATCAGTCGCAGTGTTGTTTAAGTGGGGATCACTTCTTACCTGTTGCCTCCAAGTGCTTTATGAGAGTCTTTCTTTCTTCGTTATTTTTTTGGCGGGGAGGAGAGAGGGACTGAGAAATGGATGCGCTTCTGAAATCCTTTGCCTGACATCACCGTGCAAGCCAGATTTAAGATAGAAATGAGCCACCTGGAATCACTTCATACACTGAGCCACTTCATCTTGCTGACACACTAACACATATTGAGGGAAAAGCTTTGTTAGGGAAAGATTTCTCTCACCTCTGAATGACACAATCCAGGAAATCATCGAGTAGCCAAATGCCACTTCACTCCAAGCTGATTTTGGTAGGAGAGGTGGGGAGGCATTGCTTTCTTTTRAAAAAAAAAATTATAAAAAAATGTTTAATCCCTGTAATGATCTAAAACTATTGCTGTAAAATGCAGATCAATCCCAGGAAGTTCTTGGTTTAATCATACTCGCTTGATTCGTTTTGTAGGTGGGAATAGTGGGCAGAACAGGAGCTGGAAAGAGCTCTCTGATCGCAGCGCTCTTTCGGCTGGCCGAGCCCGAGGGAAGGATTTGGATCGACAGGTACCTGACATCGGAGCTGGGGCTCCATGACTTGCGGAAGAAGATTTCCATCATACCTCAGGTAGGGCCTGGCTTTGTCTGCCCCGGCGCTTCCCTTTTCATTGAGGCAGTCCTTACAGCTTTGCCGGGATGCTCTTCCCTTGCGCTCCATGTGCAGTAGGCTTAGGAACTGGAACGTGACCCTGTTCTCGCTTGAACAAAGTCTCGGTTATTTTAGGATGAAGACAACCAGCTTAAGGGACTTCCCAAGGGTTTTCTTCTTGGTTTGCTCCCATGTACTTTTCTGTTTGAGTCACTGCTCAAAGCTTTGTTAGAAAGGGACTTYGGAGGGTCACCCTGTAGTTGCTCCTCTACAGGCCGACTGAGGTTACATGCAGAAAGAGCAAACTGAGAAAGAACGAATGGATCATAGATTTTTTTTTTCTAGCAGGTAGACAATGGCATAAGCTAGAAACCAGACAAATTTGTTTGTCATGTTAGTTCTAGTTCTCAGAACTCTGTATTTTATCRCAGAAGCTGTATTTAGAGTCCTTGGACCATCCAAATGTTTCACTAGTCTGTTAGCAGCATGGCCCTCAACCATCATGTCTGTTACACTACTTTCTTTAAATAGCAAATCTGAAAGAAAGAAATAATAGTAATGGGTGGTGCTTCTCGAAAGCCTCTCTGGTTTGCCTGCCTTTCCTGCTCTCCCTTCTCCCCCAGTACACAGCCTAGGAATGAAAGCAGCAGCAGGTGGGTATGCAACTGCCATCCAAAACGTGGGCCCTCTTCCCCACCCCCTGCCAAAGGGGCAGCAGCCCAACGCGGGCCGCCGTTCCTGCACGCTGAAGGCTTCACTGACCCCCAGTCACACAAGCTGCTGGAGGTGGTGGGTCTTTGTATCTAAAGAGGACTTGGCCTAGGCTGAAATGCTGTTGCTTTTGTTTGTGTGTAAGGGTTTTTTTCTGTTTTCTCCTGAAAACCGCCACGAGTTCCTTCAAAGTTCACAGCTTTCTCAAGTCCTTGACTGTAACTATTGCAGGAGATTTCTGTGTTTGGAAGCATTCGGCCAAACTGAATAAAAGCAGAGCCCTGAGACAGGAAAACTGCTGGTCAGATACAGTTTCTACATCTTGAGCAATGCAGATGCTCAGAGGTCACTGTATTTAGTTATCCATGTTTTTATTCATTGACRGGATCATGGAACTATTTTAATCTAGGTGAGTTCTGTGACTTTTTCCAAGTTTCATGTTATGGGTTCTCATGGTGGTCCCTGAGGGTTTTAAGTGCCTGAGGGCTGCCTGGTAGGGTTTCTTACCCACATAAAGGAAGATTTGTTTTCACTAACAATATGCAGGCTTGCCATGCTGCTAGTGAGAGGGGCTTAGAATAAAGATTATACTGTAGCAAAGGTGTTGCCTTTGTATTACATTACTAGCAATATTATCAGTAATAGTCTTGTAACATCAGACAGTTACTGTGCAGCAGAAATCTTCATAATTATGTGGGAAGCTAAGAAAACAGAGACAGGGAGAGGTACTTACGAGAATTATGACATGAAGCAGACGAAACTGAGCCATTCCTAGAGAGCAATGAGGCAAGACTGAAGTTTTCTTAAATGTGACTTTAAATACCCACCCAGAGAAATAAAAATGTGCTTAGACTTCTAATTGCTTCCTTAGAAGGAGCTGTGTGAAGGTTGTGTTTGTAAATCTTCTCTATGCAAATGTTGTCTGCCTCCCTGACTGCAAGCATTTTTACAACAATTATTTACAGGTTTGTCTTATTACTTTCCTCTCATAAACCAGACTATTTTAAATAATAATCTGTGTCAGAAGTGATAATTAAAAATTATCCTTATCTCCTGTTGCAGTACACGTCTGTTGTTAGGGCTTCTATCATAGTTATGAACATTTTATAAATTCAGCTGCTTATTTTGCCAACCTATAAAAGCAGAGATGGAAATGGAATATAAACTTAACAATACTTTCAAAACACACCAAATGGTGCATTAAARTCCGTGTTGTTAAACAAATTATTTCTAGGTGTTTTTGAAGAAGAATATTCTTTAACCTGTTAATGTTCTTCCTAAATCCTTTTGTTCGCTCAACAGGTTTCCAGTGATGTTGCTTAAGGCAGCAGATACTTGCAAGCAATGGGTGAATGACATTCACCCAAGGATTGCACGCCTTGCTTGTGCCGTGTTCTGTCTTTGTTAATGCTGTCATATCAGCAAAAATGGCTCAGAAATGAAGTAAAAGGGGTTTAGGTCCCAATTATGTTCTGCTTTGGTGCAGCCCTCTGGAGCTGGACGTCACTAGGGTGGGATGGGACATTCAGATGGAGTAGGGAAAGGAAATATTTGTGTAAAATGTCTCCAGTTCCAAGGAGATGCTGATAACAAGGTGAACAGACCCCCTTTCCGATCGGCAGCGCCGAAGCTTTTGACTTGCTCTTGTCTGTGYGTGTAGCATTACAAGGGATTTAGCCCTCAGATCATACAAGTCCGTGGCCTTGGGTCTGKCAGATCCCGTGAGCCAGTGCTGGGCTCTCGCTTAGGGACTTCTGCATCCCAAGTTGTGGTGGCTGTTCCCAAACACTCCGTTTTTCAGCGTTTTTCACCGGTCTGATGGATGTGCTGGCGCTGGCCTGAGCTAGAGGCCTGTCCTGCCCTGCCTTGGTGGCTGCCCTGCCGGAGCGGGGCAGAGCCCTGGGCCCGGCCGTGCGGCGCCCGGGGCGGCACCAGTACCAGGCAGCACCGGTGCCAAGCTCTGCACCGACGTGGTGGGGACTGTTTCCTGTAGAGGCTGGCGGGGTAAAAGCGAAGAACTTTCATGGTATCGAATGGGGAAAGGGGAAAAAAATAACAGCCAAAGCAAGGAACAAAGTCAGGAAAGCACTGCGAGCTCTTGGCTTCCGCTCCATTTTCTGTAGCTCAAACAGAAACTTTTTGGAACGGCCCTAAGGTGATTGAGGGCCCGTTTACAGTGGTTGTTGCTGATGTTCACTGACAATGCCAGGAGAATAGCAGTAATTTCATGTAAATATGCATATAGCTTGTGGTATCGAAACAGCGGCATGTAGGTGCTGACCTGAGTACCAACAGACRTGTGTACAGCAGCTGTGCCAATGGACCTGCCCTGTTTATTGCAATATCTCCATATAAATTTGTCTAGTACTTACTTTGTCTTCTTTTTTCCCTCTATCAGTGTGGTCTTATTGTAAAGTACTGTTTTGCATTTCATAAAGGATAWGTTGTAGCAGGATATTTCTATGCCATCGCTGATGTAGATTAGTTCTGCTTATTATTAAATTACCCGTCGTGGTATAAAAGCTGTATATGTAATAAAATCTTGCTACTTCTGGCCTCTAGGAACCTGTTTTATTCACTGGAACGATGAGAAAAAATCTAGATCCTTTCAACGAATACACCGATGAAGAGCTGTGGAATGCCTTGGAAGAGGTGACTTAATCTAATAATGTACATCTGGTATTTACATGCCAAGTAACATTATAGTGCTTGTGTACATTAGGTTTTAGATGCTTTAGGTTTGATAAGGGCACAGCTGTTGATTGAAGAAAGGTAGAGTGTAGGGGTGTGTTTGTGAATGTGATGCGTCCATTTTTATATATGCCTTTTATAAAAAAAAAATATCCTTTGGGATGATGATCTGGTTATATTTTGATTCCTRTCTTGGGGCTAATGAACATTAATCAAATCTTAACAATGTGCTTTAACGGCACGGCATAATCCAGCTTGGCACTTGCTCCTACYGTGTCGGAATATAAAAGACAAACCCTGCTGCTTATTGTGGTGTCGGGAGGCAAACCAGAGCTGATGGAGCGGGGAGTCGCTCGTCCTACAGCGTGTTGACATGTCAACAGGTGCAGCTGAAGGAGCTCGTGGAGGATCTGCCCGGCAAGATGGAGACCCAGCTGGCGGAATCGGGCTCTAATTTTAGCGTTGGCCAGAGGCAGCTCGTGTGTCTCGCCAGGGCGGTTCTAAAAAAAAACCGGATCCTTATCATTGATGAAGCAACAGCCAACGTGGACCCAAGGTAAAAAGAAAATCTGGCCCGTTGAGAAGAGCTCTGTGGCTTTTTCATACGGTCATCTCTGCTGTGGAGATGAACTCAGATGCTTTGTATTTCTTGTTGTTTGTGTTGCTGTTTTGTGTTTTCCATGATAGCATCATTATTGTCTATTCAAACCGGGGAAGCTGAGCTTTGGATACAAAGCAGATGATATAAACTGGGAACGTGCTCAAAATAGCCCTCATTTCAGTGCTTTCCATCGAGTAGGGAAATGAAGATTCCAAGTTATTTGTCCTGCAGCCATAGACGAGAACTTTTTGGAAATGCAAATCAGTAACATGAGCGTAGCCATGAAACCTAGGTTGGGTTCTGCTGGCTTCAGAAAGAAACAGCTCCGCAAAAACATAAAGCATAGCAAATTTGTTAATAAAAAAAAGTGAAAAAAAAGGTTTTAAACGAAACCAGATATTCTTCTGGCTATGAGGTACTGTCCCTTCARATGACTCTGATACTAGTAGAACAAATTGAAGATGAAATAGGGTAAAAAAGGTAAAATACCCTAAAGACCACGGGAATTACAAAACACATTTTGGAATTTTGAAAGCTAAAGGAAGGATCCATTCATCATTTATTCTTATGTCTTGTATGACTGAGGCCAGCAGAATTTTCCTGAATTCATTCCTGTTTGAACTAGCGCGTATTTCTTGAGGAACATTGAACCTCAATTGAAGGCCTTTTCAATGACAACCCTTGTTCCAATAGCTCAGTCCCCCCACTGTTAATTTTTGCAACATTTGAAACGCTGGTGGAGATATTTTGGAAACAATGCTGCAAACGTACTGCATCAATTAGCCGGAGCTCAATATATAGTTCCAAAAAACTATGGCTGCAGGGAGAACTCCACGTCCAAAGAGGACAATAACCCAGCAAGTCCCTCCACCAGATGCATTTAGGATTTTCTATGTCATCTGGGCGTGACTCATTTTTATAGCAGCATCTTGGGGGAGAGGAGATGGCACCAGAGCAGCTCTGCAGTTTGGCTGACAGGGAATTTCTGAAGCAGCCTTTCGAGGGCTGCGTTCCCTTCCCGCAGCCGTGTGGCTTCTTGGGAGTTTTGGCCTGTTGGTTTATTTTTGGCTGAGCACTGATAGATTGACTGCGATTAATGGGAGCTGTGGAAATTTAATGCCATCTTACTCATCCTCCCCGCTTTGGCATCTCACTCGTGTGTTCACAACCCGCGCTATCCGTTTAATTGATCTTGATTGATGTGTGCTGCAATATGTATTATAATAAGGTAAATGTTTGTGTCAACTCCAGGCATAACAACACGAATAATGTCTTTAAGCTGCTGCTTTGAATTCCGTTGGCGTTGCAGTCGTCGTTACCTTTCCCTCCACTGGCTGCTGTGAGCAGAGCAGGGGACCTTGCAGCCCTGCAGTCTGAAGGGAGGCCCGCAAGGAAACGAGACCCTCGGCTCTCGGCCGGCACAGCCCGTGCCCAGCACCCAGAGGGACCAGGCCGAGGGGCCCCCGGCTCCCAGACCCTGTTTCTTCCTTTTCTTTCTCAGGGTGTGTTTGCTTCCACTGCAGCCCTTTCCCGCCTGCAGTTTGGCCGGGAGGCCAGTGCAGGAAGGCAGGGGTTGGGGGGAGGCAAAATCGAATGAAAGCTGCAAGTGAAAAGCGAAAAGGCAGCGAAACAATTCTAAAAAGTTGGGAGAAATTCAAAGCAGAAGAGCTGCAAATCTTTCTGTAGTCACTTTGGTGATATATTCGAACCTAATCCTTGAAAAAAGGAATGCTAGCAGTGATTGCTAAGATGTTTGTACACTGGATACAGTAGTGTCTTTTAAATGGCATTTATCCTGCTGTAAAGGACAGAAAGGCTGTTTTTTTTTTAAATTGGTTGTTCATGGAGTTTGGTTAAACCCAGCAATTGAGCGCAGTTCAGTTCATCAGGCAGTTTAACCTTGCAAGGTTTAACCGTCCTTTGCATCCAAGTGCTCTCTGTAACTGCCTCTTTCGGAGAAGGTATCAGCACGTGTGGCCTCCTCCCTGGCCACGCAGGACCCGGGAAGYGCGCGATAGGCTCCCAGGACCGTCCCGAGAGGACATCCAGCTGCAGATAATGACTTAGCCGGTGCTCCTGTTTCAGCAGCCCCGTTGCTTCTCCTTCAGATTGGACTTATTCTTGCTCTTTAGACAGTTTCCCTTTTACACAGTCAGCTATTTCAGAAGGATAGACCAAATCCTGGCTTGCTTTGAAAGTTGCGGTTCRATTCCCAACCCACGCTGACGGCAGGACAGCTCCGCCACCGCCTTGTGCTTCCTTATCGGGCTCTTCCTTGGGGAGCAGGGCGCTTCTGATGTTTGTTTGATCAGATAAGGGTTGAGTTTTGTCACCCAGCAGCCCTGGTTTGGGGTTCTGGTGGCGTCTTGGGCTTTGGAGGTRCCTGAAAGGCGGTGGGGCTTGAGCCACCCAAGTGGGCGGCTGAATTGKGTGGCCCCTGTCTGGCCACGGGTGCAGGCAGTGGCCGTGCGCGCAAGCACTGCAGAGGGCCCGTTTATGCCTTCAAAAATGGACAGAAATGGGGCCTCTTTGGGCACTTTGCAGCCAGTCCAGCTGCCACGGGTCAGAGTCTCCGTGCTCCGTCAGCTCTTCGTTCTGTTCTTGGCCTTTTGCATGGTTTTGTCAGCCCAGGATTGCCTGGGCGGGTGRCTGGTGGTGGTTCTGTCTGCCTTCCTCACAGCCCTGCTGCAGACAAGGTCTCCTGGGAAGCTGAAGGAGGATCTGCCCCAGCTCCTCTAGGTGGACATGTCTGCATGAGATTTCTGCATGTGATAGCTGAAGATGGAGCTATTAGATCTTTTTCTGATTACTTTGTAGTCTCATTTTAGAACCTTTGTTGCACCCACAATGCAGCCAACAGTGCCTTATTAGAGCTGAGTTTATGTTCAAGAAATACCTGTTTAAGATAACAGATTGATAACATCTCTCTAAGAATGAGCAATGGTTCCTAACCTAAATGCAGGGAGAGGCGGTACTATGAAGAATGCATATACTAAATAAAAGGCTTAATAAATGAGTGCAAAGGAAGGGATGTTCAGCCATTACCCATTCTCCCGAGATAACAACAGGCAGAACCTGAGAGTTGCAGGTCATTTCAGGTTCTTTTAAAAGCTGTTTTCACCATTTGTAGGCAAGCAGCGTTTCTCTGCGCTCCTCAGCTCTCCAGGAAGCCTCCACTGGAGCTGGCCTAGAAGGAWGGGAAGAGGCTGTCCGTGCATCCCCCTCGGGAGCAGCGCTGGGGCTCTGCTTTGCTCCTCAGTGCAGAGCTGTGCCTTGCAGAGAACGCGCCCTGCTCCTTCCCYGCTGGGCGTTACCACGTGTGGCCCTGGCTTTTCTCTGCTCAGAGAGACGAGAGTCCTGTCACTGAGGCGTTGCTGAGGGGATGGCAGACATGCATGAGYATTATCCATGGGACGGACACGCCGGTGTTTCTGGGATCGGCGGCGTGCGGGGATGTTGCAGGGTGCCTTTCTTAAGGAGGCTCCTACCTGCTGGGCTAAAGAGCTCATGGTCTTTCTGGGTGCCTGGTTGGGAGGAGGAGTTGAGGGATTCCTCCGTGTCCCTCCACTTCWGTGAGGAAGCGGAGGCAGAAGGCCCCAGCTTTCCCTGACGGAGGCCCAGACCTTGTTCTCATGTTCCTTGCATTAATGCTTATTGCTGCCACGCTATTGGCAAAAGAGGGGCACGAAACGAGTTTGTCACATCCCTCTGGTGCTTGAGGCTGCAGCCGGGATTTAGGCCAGGGCTGAAGTTTCCCCCTGCCAGCTGCAGAATCGCGGCAGGGCTTTAATGTGCCTGGGCGCAGGCGAGGACGCCCGCGTGGCAGCAGCAGCAGTGCCCGCTGGTGGGGAAAACCCCCGGCCCAGAGCGGAGGTGGGACTCCGTACGGAGCAGGCACGTGGCAGCAGCAGCCATCAGCGGCTGGGGTTTTCACACTCTACCCRAAAAGGGGTTTGGGCAGAGGTTAGGCTCCGTCCACCTCCTCTGTGGTCAGCATAAAGTGATCTGTGTTGAGAGAGCTGTTCCTCTGCCATGCTGGATGCTCAGCCTTCCTTGGCCACGGAAATCGTGTTCAGCCTTTCAGGGCACGAAGTTCTGCTTCCTGTTAGGGAAAGTCATCCTGTTCTTCCACTTGGCTTAAGTCATCGTCTTACCCCCAAATTGGTCATCCTTTCTGTTAGTGCCTCCTAACGTGATACCATCAGAASAAGTCTTTTCTCTCAGATTTGACGTGATACCAAGTGCCTGTGCATGTCCAGACAGCTTCACTGTAGAGTACTTCCACCTAAAAGATAATTTGTCTGAGGAATACATTTGTTAATGTGGCATGAATGTCTGTTATATTTTATTCAATTTTCCGTCTACTTTTAACAACTGGAGGAACAGYTAAAGTTTTGCAGGCACCAGGTGCAGAGTAGCAGAGCTACCCGAAAATACCCATTTATATAATTATATATTCCTTGTCTTMAGTTAACTCTGGGTAAAGTACTTATTGTGCTGCAGCCGTTTTATAAACGTTCAGTATCCTGTTTTAATATCAATCCTGGATGTGAGCGCTTTGCCTTCAAGTGCGGAATTCCAGGCTGCCGCTTCTTTGATCCCACTAAACCCATTGGATCCTGAGCCCTTTGGCTCTTCCCTCCCTCTCGGATGAGATTTTTCAGTCTTACCCTGCCTTTTTCTCTCTCCGCTGTCACCGTTACGCCTGTTCTTGAGAGCGGTCACACAGTCGGTGGGGCCGGAGCGGGCTGGGGGGTGRCACCTCTGTGCAGCCCCCAGAGCAGGACCCTCTAGAGGGGCAGGGCCGCCCTGGCCAGAGGGGGCACCRGGCAGGCCCCCAAACTGAGGGGGGCGACTGCAGGTCGCTAAGTTAGACAGTGTCAGTACCTCGCTGCAAGCAGGTTCTTAAATAAGGCTGAGTTTTATCAGAATTATTCAGTTTACCTTAACGCTCATATATAGTGCTCTAGCTATACAKCTAGAGAGCACTTTAGCACCATTGGGTTTTGGTTTTATTTTGTAGTTGTTTGTTTTTTCAGTATAACTTTATTTTCCTTTTTAGGGTTGTTCCCAATCTGTTGTACTTTTCACTTCAATCCAGTACTTCAGTGTCTCTGCGCTAGCTTGATTGTTATTATTCTCAAGCCTGTTGTTTCCTCCTGCTATGATTTCCTTGGTGCTCATTCATACAGGAGGTTGAGACTCTTTACTGAAAGGATCTATCCCTTTCCTTGGGGTGTGAGTTACAGTTAACTCTGGATTTAGTCATATACCTAGTTTTCTTTTTCTGTTTAAAATTATCTGTTGAAAAGTCAAATTTTCAAGATTTTAAAGATCGATTTAAACAGATTTCTTTACCAGCTGGGTTACTGTATTTCTTTGTGCAGTTGAAGTCAAGAACCTTAGTTGTAGGCACTCCTGCAGTCACTCTTCAGTCCATTCACCCTGAAGAGTATTCACCTTCACCAGCTTTTCTGCACTGCTTGCACAAGCTAAAGCTTCARATACTAGTGCCTTTTTTTTGGTGAATAAACCAAAATATCTCAATCTAACCGCTAATAGGAGTGCTTTTCCTTCTGTAATCAAACCCTAGAGAACTAGTCTCTGAGAGTGAGACAATGGTCCTCCTTCCAAGAAGAAATTCTTTTCCCTTCCRTCTTTGGAGGGCAGCTTTTGGGGTATGTTTCATTACATGCCTGCAAGTCCTCGAATGCAGTGAGTATTCCCGCAGCACAGGAATCCCTTCCTAAATAGTTCCTGTGGAAGAGCCGTGTTTGCTGGGCCCAGGTCCTGCGTGCGGCCCAGCCGGCTGGGCTGGGCTGGGCGGGCRCCTCATTTTTGTCACCGTGGCCCTTTCTGTGTTTCAGGACGGACGAGTTCATCCAAAGGACGATCCGAGAGAAGTTTGCGCAGTGCACGGTGCTGACCATCGCTCACCGCCTGAACACCATCATCGACAGCGACAAGATTATGGTAAGCCAGGCGCCCACCTGGATTCTTTTGCTTCCCGGGATAAGATGAATTTTATTGACTTTTTCTTCCTAGTTTTGATCTAGAAATGGGGAGAAGTGTAACTATCCTTTAGACTTACCCAGTTAAACCAGCAGGGACTGAGAACTTATAAACCTGCAGGAGGAGTGACCTGAAAAGACTTGTTTGGCCTTGTTTGGCCCTGTGGTTTGCCTCCTGTGAGGCCTGAGCCCGTCCCAGCGAGGCTGAGCAGCAGAGCTTTGCGAGGCACTCTCGGAGGACCGGAGGCAACAGCGGCGGCCCTTAGTGCCGTGGGGCGTGTGAGCAGGAAGTGGCAGAGGTTGTGGGGCGGGAGACGCGGGGCGAGGTGGGAGAGGCAGAGCTAGGCTGGTGAATTAGGGCCCACGGCCGGCTGTGTAAGGCCAGGCTCGGGCAGAGCAGGGGAAGCGCTGCCCTCGTCCTCTCTACTGCGGAGCCGGGATGGTCTCTGGCTCTGAAGCACCCTCCTTTCCATCCCGCTGCCATGCGCGGAAAAGGAGCATCCTTGCTGAGTGTTTGCAGAGAGCACATGGTCCTTCCCCAGGCTCTTGGAAGTCTGGCTGGTCTGGATCCTCGGGATGATGTGCAGCCCTCCGACTGCAGATGTCTGCAGTAGGAAGGGAGCTCTTTGCTTCACAGGCAGGTAGCAAATAACTGACACAGTGGGTAAAGTGGGCCTTCAGAGGTGGAAGTCAAACTCAGCTAGACTTCAAGGAGAAATTACTCTGCCCCTTTCAGTGATGACCTTAAAAARTTAAAAAACAACCTCCCCAAATCTTGTTATTGAGCTGAAAATGAAAACCCTGAAAATCATTAAAAAAAAATGGAAGTGAACGGTGTCCTGATGCATAGAGTAAACAGCGACGTGTGTGATTATGGTACTTCTGAGGAGAGAAACTAGCCACACTGTCCTAATAAGTCATGTAATTGCAGGCATTTAAGGTGTAATAAATAAATATTTTCTTCCCTGGTGAATGCTTCCCCACAAGTGTGAAGGGATGTGGTGGTGTTTTCTGCAACTAAAGGGAACAAAAGAGTTGTGAGGAAACAAGTGTGACCTAATTAATGGCTGTGTGCGTTTGTGAGCTGTCCAAAGGGATTTCTGTGGGTTTTGGTTCATTTACTACCATTAACATGTTATGCACAGAATGCTCTTGCCATGAAGATGTTTTCTTAGTTTACCTTCAGTATCATACAGTTGTCATGAAAAGCAAATGTTTTTGTTGACTTTTTTTTTTTTTTTTTTAACTCAAAAAGCATTTGAGCAAAGCATGCAACTAGGAAACCATCTTCCCAAACTGCTCTCTGCTTTATTACCAATGGTATAGCTTGTTGCTTGTATTTTTGGAGTCAGAATACTATTTTTAATTTTATGTTGTTTCAGCTTAGGCCCTACTAACAGTTCTGCTTTCCTAAAAGGCCATTTATTCTCATGCATTGTCTAATACAGTCCTTTTAGAATGATTTAATGACCTCTTTAGAATGTATTAAGGAGCAGATCTGCAAAAAGTTGTGCCTTAGGGTCTACAGTCTTCAGTAATTTTGAAAACATTTTTTGTCCTTTTATATTGCTTCATTTTGATCTGAGGACTTCTGTAATTTTTTGGGACAGAGGAGGACAAGAAGAATAACACAGAGAAAAAGAAGGAAACTGACACACTTGACCCATTAAGAAATCTGTTTTCTTGACATCCTTATTCAGAGTAATTGGTTCTGTTTCCATACAAATTGGAAATCTTGCACTTCCTAGAGGGGATAGAACCGAATTTTGAAAGAATAATGAAAGTGTGCATTAAAAATCCAGCGCACAAGAATGTCCCTCTGGAACAACTAAAAATTAAATGAGTGCCATTAACAATAAAACAACATTCATTGAAGTTTCATTATTTACTCAATATTAGGAAAATTGAGAAAACATGGCTAAAGAAGGCTTTCTGTTTTAAAATTTGGCCTCAAAATATACTATATTTTAATATTACTCAATTTTAAATTGATGCACATTCTTTTTTTTAAAAAAAAAGAGTGAAAATGCACAAGCTGAAGTGCAGTTATCCCTTTACCCACTGTTCCTAAAACTTTTGGATTTGTTTTCCTTTTAATTGAGACCTCTAGACGTGGTAATGCCTGCATGTACAAGCTCTGCCACATCCCAACTGTTTGCTATCAGGGTAAGTGTGATGGAAAAATGAAGGAGGAGCAAATACGGAACCTGACAACCGGAACAGTTGTCTTCTGACAGACAACGAAGTTGTTCCTCAAGCAAATTTTGATCAAAATTGCTCAATCACAGAAAAGCAAACCTCGGATCTTGAACAAGTCACTTAATCCGAACATAAGCTAGAGGGTTATTATTTTCATTGCTTGCTTGCTTTTTTCTTTCCATAGAATCATTCCGGCTGGCAGGGACCTGGGGAGGTTTGTAGTCCAAACTCCTGCCCCCAGTGTGGTCAACRCTCATTTCTGACCAGCTTGCTCAGGACTTTGTCTGCCTGAGTCTCCGAACCCCCCGAGGAGGTTGATTCCCCGGCCTCTCTGGGCAACCTAGAATCCTAAAATCCCAGAATTCTTAAGGTTGGAAGGGACCTTTGGAGATCCAGTCCAACCCCCGCCTGCCTCAGTGCAAGCCCGGGAAGGCTGCTCTCAGCTCCCCCCAGACCATGTCCCCTTCAGCGTGATTCTGCCCTGCTCCCCGAGTCTTGCCCGGAGGAGCAAGTACCCTGCCCACGGTGTGGGTCTGTGCTGGGCTCCCTCCCCTCTGCTCTTGTGTTTCTTGCACTGAGATGTGGGGCCAAAAATGGGCCCAGCATCGCCGAGCTGGTGTGATGAGCACTCACTAAATCACTGCCCTTGATCTGCTTGCACCTCCTGTTGATGCAGTCCAAGATGCCCCTGCCCTTCGTCGCTGTCGTGGCGCACGGTGTGATTCCCRTTTAGCCAAGTGCCCCCAGCACCCGGCTCCTTCCCGGGAGAGCTGCTCCCCACGCGGGAGCTGCCCAGCTGGTGCAGGGCTTAATCTCTGCTGGATGCAGGATTTCACATGTGTTTCTGTTCAGTTTTCTGAGGTTCCTCTTGGCCTGACCCTTCAGCTTGCCTGGATCCTTTTGGATGTCAGCTTCACCTTGAGTGGGTYGACTGCAGTCCCCAGTTTGGTGCCGTCCCCAAATTTTTGCTTTAATTCAGGCTAGAACTTTGCAAAAAGAAAATGTTCACCTTCAGGGTTAGCTCAAACATGAAAGGAAAAAAAAAACAGCAAAAAATGATTCTGAGGAAGTCATGAGAAAATGTCGAGTTGGATGAGTATGGAAATGGGAACCGAACGTGAACTGTGGCAGGTCTGCTCACACCCTTCGCAATAACCGGTTCGGTGTCAGAGGAGGAGAAGAGGAGCCCTACTGGAAGAGGGGGGAAAAGGAAGAGCAGGATACGTTTCATACAACCGTAGCCAAATCTGGCCTCGGGAGTTGTTTTAAATTCTCGTTTGTTCCGTTCCCAAAACCATAGCCCCGGTTTCGTAATCCAGGTCACACCTTAAGCGTATTTCCATTCTATCTCTCTTGGTGATAAATACTTTTTATCAGAACTTCAAACGCTTCAAATCATTGAGGGAAGAGCTGTATTGTGTAATGTGATACTCTCTAACCCAATCACCTCGGTGAGTAATACTCCGCTGCACTTGCATAGGACCTTTCATCTGGAAATTGTAACGCTCTTTACAAACATTAATTAATTAAACTTCAAACACCTGGGTGAGATAGGGAAGTATCCATACAGTCTTTGGAACCAGAGTTGGAAAGACTTGTTAAGTCAGGCCATCAAATAATACTACCATAAAATTATAATCCAGCGGTTTTTGGAGGCTTTTCTTTTCCCTTTTTATCCTTGTTTTCCCCTACGCCGGTGCTCACAGGGCACCTTCTCCTTCCCCTTTCYCCCTCTGTTGGGAGCCCCCTGGCTGCTCCCGGCCGCGGGCAGGGGCGGCTGCTGCCCCTGTCGGGCAGGGGCGGCCTGGCCAGCGCTGGCCCCGCTCGGCCCTGGCCATGGGGCTCCCCAGCCCCACGGCAGGGCAGACAGGCGGCAGCTCTTGGCCCCTCTCTCCTCGCCTCCTGCTTTGGCCACCATCACAGCCGCAGCCCGAGGCAGCGGGGAGGCAGCGCTCCCAGCGCTCCTGGTGGCATCTCACAATCCCGGAATGGCTCAGGTTGGAAGGGACCTCCAGACATCACCTAGTCCACCCCCCCTGCTCATGCGTCTCAGAAAGTCCCCACTCCTCTTCCTCCCTTCTCATTTCTTCTCCAGACTGAGAAATCTTTTTCATGTAAATTCTGCTTTTACGAAGGAGACAAGAGAAGCTTACAGAAGTTGAGGTGTAGTGAATCAGTAATAAATTAAGTATATGCATTTGGCAAGAGCCCGGTACTTTGAATGCTGTGCCATTATATTTTTCTATAGGAAATCTGTGGSCTAGTCAAGATTCATGCATTATCCAATGACAAAGATGTTTTCTCCTAGAGACTTTTCATATCAGTGCAAGGCTGCTTTGAAATGGAAACTCTATGTAAGCAGGACTTGATCTTGTAATTAAAAATTGTCATTCAAATAAGATGTTTTTGTTGAAGAGCAGCATGGGAAGAGGTTTGATTTATGGGAGAACCTGTTGTGATTACGTCCTGCAATGACTAATATTCATTCAGGTTAACAATACAGTGTGCTCCACTGCCAGACCCAGGGGTCAAAACATAACCAGCCATTTTTCCTGTTGAAGCTGAGTTTGCTGCCCTTCCTCTATCAGAAGCTTTTACATCCCTTTGACCTCAACCCCATCTGTAAGTATCAAACATAAGTCACAGAATATGGTATCTTCTTCCTGTGCCTTTTCCCTTCAGAAGCCAGAGACCTTATCAAAGCACTGAAATGGATTCAGAGAGGGGAAAAAATGCATTCTGTGGGATTTAAGTGGCATTTTA